TCTACAGCCTCAGACCTGGATCTACAGCCTCAGTCCTGGATCTACAGCCTGTCTGTCCGTGGAGCTTTCTCTCTTTTTTCCCCACTGGGTTTTTGAGTGGTTCCTTATCGATACAGAAGGTTGATCCGGGACATTTCTGCACATTTATTAACATGTCTGGACAGTAGGTCTTCCGGCTCCCTATGGACCAACGGCTCCTATGTGTTTGTTATTATTGCATTTCCTGTCTTCAACTGCCGTTGTGATGTAGGGCGATACACAAATGTTATCTAAATAACCAATAGCAATAGCAATTTATTTTTATTTTTATTATACACATGAGGTATTGCAACTCTGTTTCTAGCACATTTAGCTTACAAAGTACAATCCACAGAAACATTTATCTTTGAAAAAACTGTAGAAAAGGTGTAGAAAATATGAACAATTTTCATTTGTTCTGATTTAACAGGATTTTAAGTGATTTACACATAAAATGGGTTTACAGCTGGGGTGGATAACTTTTGGTTGTGAGAACATAATTGTGACAGAGCCCAAAAACACATGCATGTGAGAGTAATAGAATGCAACATTTTTGAGAGTGGGAAATTAGTGACATGGTTTTGATTAAATAGTTCATTTTTGAGTTGTTAGGCACTCTAGCTTTAATAGTAAAATGAGGCCACAGCATGCCGGGGTAAGATAAGGTAAAGGGAACAAACCAAATATTAGGATTGTTAAACCTCCTTAATCCATATCCAGTCCTTGAAAAGAAAAGTTACATTTGGGCATAAAAAGTGCTTTGTTCTTGTGACAATCTGAGCGTGGATTGTGGAGGGGTGAGTCTGGGAACCGTGCGGGTCGTATGAGGTGAATGCATGACGGCTCGGGAGGCGGCGGGCGCTCTGGAGGGTGTGGAGGTGTCAAATATTAACAAGTGGGTCCCATCGCGTTAGCCTCATTAGCATCAGCATTGTGCCCCAGGAGAGAGGTGACAAAGCAGAGGGCTCCTGGTCCCAACGGTTTCAAGCGGCTTCAGAATCCCCTTTGTGTGGGTGAACCGTCCCCCTGATCTCCCCCCTGATCTCCCCCTTCTCCCCCACGCTGCTCCATGCTGGTCCCTGGCCCCTGACCCGGCCCCCTGCACTCACAAGGACCACTGACCCTCTCTCTCATCACATTCAAAACGTATATGTTTAAGTTGTAAGAAACCGGAGCACCCGGAGGAAACCATTGTGCCATGGATTAAGATCAAGTTAAGTACATGCTCCGGAATTTTAGTTCATTTCAGAGAGAAAGACCAGAGTGAGACCAGAGGGAGAGACCTGAGAGAGGCCAGAGAGAGAGAGACACTAGAGAGAGACCAGGGTGAGTGACCAGAGAGAGAGACCTGAAAGAGGCCAGTGAGGGAGAGACCAGAGGGAGAGACCAGAGGGAGAGACCAGAGTGAGTGACCAGAGAGAGAGATGGACCAGAAAGAGAGACCTAAGAGAGGCCAGAGAGAGGGACCAGAGTGAATGACCAGAGTGAGTGACCAGAGAGAGAGAGAGACCAGAGTGAGAGACCAGAGAGAGAGAGAGACCAGAGTGAGAGACCTGAGAGAGGCCAGAGAGAGAGAGAGAGAGAGACACCAGAGAGAGACCACAGTGAGTGACCAGAGAGAGACCTGAAAGAGGCCAGTAAGGGAGAGACCAGAGAGAGAGAGAGACCAGAGAGAGAGCAGTGCAAGACTAGAAAGAGGTTCTCTGATCTGTGGTTGATGAATCCACAACTTTGTAAAGCCCTCAAAGACAATTTGAGGACAATATACCCCCCCCTCCCATTTTTATATTTCTATATTGAGGACCCAATGAAGGCTCTTGTATAACACACACACTACATATTTTCTCAGGTGTGTTTCTCTTGTTATTTTTGTTTGTTTTACACGCACACACGCTCACATCTACAGTGTCCGGTGATAAATACATCCCTTTTTCCCCTCTGATGTTGTTGTGGTGTCGTTCAGCTCACACAAAGACAAAGTGAAAGCGTGTCACCGTTTCTTTCTCTGCCTCTTGAGTTACACTGTGCAACGGGAGCTTTTTTCATTTATTTAAAAACACAAACACACATTAGCACGTACCGAGTTCAGGAGAGCAGATCAGGTGACAAGTACCGTATTTACACACGAAGGACGAATTGTTTACAACCAATCAGACGGTACGAAAAGAAACAGCTCGAAGTGCTCCTTTTGGCTTTGAAATGTTACAGGGAGTGGTTCTATGTAGATGAAATCCTCACAGTCATACAGTGCTGTTGTACCATCCCCCCCACCTTCACACACATACACATACACGCACACACACACATATACACATGCATCAGGGTCCTCAGTCAAAAAGCATGTCAGTGTTGCATCACCACTTTACAGCACAGTAGGAATGAGTACAAATACATAACAAATGAATAACAACATAAAATCTCTAACTTTAGCATAATAAAGAAGCAAGAAAAATATCTCTGAGTTTAGAATAATCAAGAAGCAAGTATAAAGCCTTTAAAATTAGCATAATGAATAAGAAAGTGTAAATTCTAGTGCCAAAAACGTTCAGTTGTATGTATGCATCTGCACATGTTAGCAGCATGAGGGTATGGGGCAAAGAGAACGGTCAGCACTAGATCATATACGGAATCTGGACAGACGCAGAAGTAAATATAACAAACTATTCATGCCTAAACTTAACCAACCATTCCCATAAAATAACCCCAACCCAGCCTTAACCCTAACCTTTACCATCTTACTCAGACGCCCAAAACTTAACCAGTCACCACTTAAGGACTTATTATTCTAAAACTAATTGTTACTTCCGGTTTCGTCCCGATTCCGTATATGATCTAGTGCCGACCCAGTTCAGATGATTGCACAGAGGCGCGACATGTGAGGTCAGGTCGGCAGTTTTTAAGTCGTCATTGTTCGTTGTACAGTCTTCCTGAAAATGTGAGACAGGCTACTACTCAGACAATGTCCAAATCCAAGTCAAAACAGGTCTGTTTCGCTGCAACAACTGACGGATTGGACTCTTTCTAATGCACTGTGATTATTCATGATGTTAATGGCTCCTTGTTTTTTGTTTTCGGCTCTTTGACTCGCTGCACAAATAAACTCCCCTTGCCCCTTCCTAACTGGCCCCTGCTCTGTCTTCTTTCCCCACGTTCTCACTCTAAAGCCCTACATTGGTGTTGTTGTCGCTCCGTCCACCTCCCCCCGCTCCTATGTCAGCGCATGTTGCACGGCGTTGCATCAGGTGGAGCACATTAAGCCTGTTTTGTTAAACCTTTAAAGCCGTAATGTGTCTTTTTAGTGTCAGATCAATGCTGGTGTGTTGTGTGGACGCTGAGGTCATCACGTCTGTCTGACCTCTGCTGCTGTTAAGTAGACGGGGTCCGCTAATGTACAGCACAGACAGGATGACCTCACGTTTAGACAGGACCAGATCACTCACAGTTATTTTCAGAAACAGAAGAGAATATTGAATGTTTTTCCCGCTTCTGTACCTGCTTGGCATTTTGGTGGAGGGAGATATGGAAGCAGCAATGAGGTCACCGCTTGATTCGGAGCTAAGAGTGCGATGATGTCATTCCTCCACAGCACAAAGCACTATGGGGGGATGTAGGTGATGTACAATACATGTGCTCGTGCCAGCGAAAAGATCAATTATAGAAGGGACGATGTATCTAAATGCAAAGTATTTGTATGTGTTTTTCTTTAGAACAGCTTTAGTAATATTTACATTTTAAAAACATGTAAAAACAACAAAGCAGCCAAGATATCCAGGTTTCCACATAATAGAAATTTAGCCAATAAGTCAAATAAATACCACCTTTAAGTCTTGTTTTTTGTTTTTTTATTTGTAAATGTATAAAAACCATTATTCAAAAAAAAAAAGGAAAAAAAAAGGAAAAAATTACAAAATAAAACAACACATTTTGTTTGATTCAGTGCAGTTTTGGGACGTTCCTGGGTTTGATTCCACCCTTTTTTTATGTGGAGTTTGCATACTCTCCTCAAATTTGTGTGGGTTTCCACCAGGCACTCCGGTTTTTCCCACCACTAAAGACATGTACAATAGGTTTGAATGCAGTGAGAGACTGAACAACTGTCAGTTGTTCAGTGTATGGAGTGAATGAATAATGACACATGTGAAGCGTCTTTGAGTGTCCAAAAAAGCGCTATATAAAATCGATGCATTATTATTATTATTAACTGTCATCACCGCGTGAGGAGTGAATGGAAATCACTGGTGCGACAACAAATGTAAAGTGCTTTGTGTGACCTTGGACTATGAAACGTGCCATATAAAAAAATATTACTTACTTCAATCCAATGCTGAGAGCAAATGACGACATACACAGAGCATGATGAAGTGAGTGTGTTTATAAGGCAGGTTTTACAACTTAAAACCTCAAGTCTAAGGATTTAAGATAAGATAATATAAGATAAGAGAACCTTTTTTTCGTCCTACGGAGATTTCAAATTTTTCATTGTTTGTTTTGACTGTATGAAACGTGAGCTTAGTGCACATATGAGAAATATTCTGAGAGAAATGGGACAAAGAGAAAAACATCACGGAAGTATAGACAAAGTAGATTATCCCTCGCAATATGGATCTGCTGTGGCTCACGGCGCTGTCCCACCCTGCCCTGTCTCCCCAGATAAACCCAGTGACCTACAATGGCCCGGGTTGTACTTTAGTCACGTATTCACGAGATAGAAATAAGAAATCCAAAACTATAGTGAACATCACGTATCTTTATGATTGCTTACATTCGACAGTGGCGTAATAAAAACGCGCTACTGAACCCTAACCCGAACCTTAAACAAACGAATTATTATTCATCTGCAAGTCTACCGATTCGTAAAGAGAGAAAACCCATGTACGTATAATCTTTAAACGTATTCAAATATACAATAAAAACATAAAAAACAGCCACAGAACAGACAAAAACAAGAAAAAAGCGGACAAAGCGGCAGGCTGGAACAAAGAATGGGATGTGTTATTGCGGCTACGCCCGCCCCCTCCACCTTGCATCAGCCAATCAGAACACTCCTGGGCCAAACGAGCTCCCATCGCCGCATCGTCCCCGCCCAGTTACGTCACCAGGCGCATCTTCTGGTGTCTAGCCGATTTTCGAGGACTCAGACCCAGACAGAGAAGCGGCACAAGCGGAGGCGCACGGACAGCCAGAAATCTGCAGCAGCAACAACAACAACACAGAGAACCCGGGGAGGGGCTGTGTATGTGGGCAGGAATATTCACTTTTACGCACAGCTTTGGATATACCCTCCGAGTTGAGTTGAAGGTTTTGGGTTCTTGTTGGCTTTGGCACAAGGATACAACCTGAAGGGAGTGGACGTGCAACTACTCTACCCTTTCATTTTCTTGTTTCTCGAGCACTGATTCTACTCAGAGCTGGCCGGTTGCACGTCTCCACAATCCTCTCCCCTGGTCCTTCCCTCCTCTCTCCTTTCCTCCTCGCCTACTTCCTCTCCTAGTCTTGCCCCAAACCCCACGCACTACAGGAGACGCCAAGGCAGGAGAAGATGCCCAGCTCGTTGTTCGCCACAGACAGCGAGAGCCACCACCATCATCACCACCACCACAACCACCATCACCACCACCAGGGAGAGACTCTGGATGACCAGCGGGCTCTGCAGATCGCCCTGGACCAGCTCTCCTTGCTCGCCCTGGACAACGACGATCTGTACGACAACAGCGAGCCACGCAAGAAGAGCGTCAACATGACCGAGTGTGTGCCAGTGCCCAGCTCCGAGCATGTGGCAGAGATCGTGGGCAGACAAGGTGAGTTTGGCTCGGCTTATGGCGGTGGTTTAGTGCATGCGGCAGTATAGTACCGGGTTCCCCAAATTTGTGAAACAATACTGAGTGGTCACTGTGCTCTTGTATATTCGCCTGAACTGTCTGGCCACACATTGTTCCTCTACTATAAATACACAGTAGTGGGCGGCAGCTGGCAGCATGGACTGTCTTCACAATATAACAAGAGACAAAAGTTTTCCAGCTTTTCTGTTCAAAAGTGCTGCATTTATTTTGTCCTTTTATATATGTTTAACTTGCTGCTTGAGCTGTGCGTGTGCAGACAGTAGTAGAGGAGCAGCTTGATCTGCGCGTATTTTGGTCCCATTCATAATAATTCAAAACAGGCGTGAATGCAGGACAAAGACGCGCCGTTGTATTTCCATTTTTTGCGGGTTTTACTGTTATATGTGCAGTAGTTTTAGTGCAGTAAAGCCATTTTGCACTGAGGCACACAGTGAAGTATAGTTTCATTTTAACACAAAGACCCAGAACGTCGGGGTCCAGGGAAAGGCAAGGCAAGGACTCGCCTCTAACACAATTTGCTTGAGTGTCTGCAGTGCTGCCGGTTTATTACTGTAATTATCTGGCAAATGAGGACAACTGGGTCACGGAGGTAGACCAAAATAGCTCTGGCGTTGACCCCAGATGTAGGTTTGTGACACTAAGCAGACAGAGGAGGATCAATCTGGGACAACGGTCACGATCACATGTGTGTGCGTTTGTTTCACCCTGTAGCAGTCCACACACACGCATGCAGACCCGGGCTGGCACACACGCGTCTGGCCGTGTGTGTGTGTGTCTGTGTGAGAGAGGGTGGGTACTGCCTGCATGGTGCTGGGTTACAAATGCGCATTTCTCTGCACTGCCACTACTGTTGCTGTAGCTGTCCCAAACCAGACACTCCCATCTATCAGCCCTGGATCAACCAAGATTGGGTCATTTGAAAATTGATGAGTATTCGAATTTGGGCAAAGAGATTAATTGGCTGCGTAAAATTATATCCTTTTTAAATCTACACATTCAAGTTTATTTAGAATGGGTTAGATCTAGCTCTACCTTATGCCTTACGTCATCTTGTCCCACTCAGCTGGCGTTGCCTTTCTAATTATGTCATTCGTTATACCCAGTTTCCTCACTCTGTATCCAGGATCAAGCATGATATTTATGCTACAGACTTGCAAAGATATGAAACGATTATGTTGAATTTTAAAGCGTCTTCTCCGGGATTTTTTCCACCTGCCTCATCTGATAGCGTTTGTAAATCCCGAATTGTTTTACTCCTAGGATGCTGTTGTATTGTGGGTCTTAGCTGTTGTGCATGTGGTTTGAGTTTATCCTAAAAAAGGGTGGGATCCCCCTATTCCTGAGTCCATTTGAGATGCAGTAAAAACACACGCAGCAGCTGTTTTGAATATCCCATGTCAAGCTGGTGTACTCTATGACCCAGTTTGCTCTGTTCTGTTTCAGGGATTCAATTCTATGTCACTTTTTGTATAGCCCTAAATCCCAACAGTAGTTATCTCAGATGACTTTACAAAACCGTCGATTCACCAACAAAGATAAGAGAATCGAACGGTTCAAACACAGCAAATGCAATGATTAAAAACAAAAAAATGATTGGTCCATAAAGGGCAGATGACCAATGTCCATACATGGTATAAAGTCCATAAATGTTGCTGAATATCAAGTGTCCTGGACCATAAACACTGTCCTTAACCCCTTTGGTATCAGGAACCTGTTCACTGATGTGTGCTCTGTCTTTCTCTGCCCGCAGGTTGCAAGATCAAAGCTCTGCGCGCCAAAACCAACACGTACATCAAGACCCCGGTGAGAGGAGAGGAGCCGGTGTTTGTAGTGACCGGTCGCAGGGAGGACGTGGCAATGGCCAGGAGGGAGATCATCTCAGCCGCAGAACACTTCTCCATGATCCGAGCATCACGCAACAAAAACACCAGTGTGAGTGGCAGCGGCACCCCCATCCCAGGCCCCCCCAACCTGCCGGGCCAAACCACCATCCAAGTCCGCGTGCCTTACCGCGTAGTGGGGCTGGTGGTCGGGCCTAAAGGAGCGACCATTAAGCGCATCCAACAGCAGACGCACACCTACATAGTGACCCCGAGCAGAGACAAAGAGCCGGTGTTTGAAGTGACCGGAATGCCCGAGAACGTGGACCGCGCCCGAGAGGAGATAGAAGCACACATCGCCATGAGAACTGGGGGCGTGATCGAGCTGCAGGACGATAACGACTTCCACGCCAACGGCACGGACGTGGGGTTCGACCTGCTCAACCACGCGTCCTTGTGGTCCAAGCCCGGCGCCACCACCATGACGCCAAGCTCAACGCGCAAACCCTTCTCGAACTACCGCAATGACTCGTCCTCCTCCCTGGGAAGTGCCTCCACAGACTCCTACTTTGGCAACTCCCGCATGGCCGACTACAGTCCCCCCAGCCCGGCGCTAAGCTACACGGCTAACAACAACAACAACAACGGCAACAATAACAACAACAACATCAACAACGCCAATGGGTTTGTGTACAGCAGTGAGGCCATCTCCCCAGACTCTGCCAGTGTGGGGTTTGACTCGTCGCCAGCCTTTGACCCCACTCCGGCCCCGCCAGGACTGATGTGGTCTCAGTACGACCGAGGCATGACCCCCACATCCACCGGAGGCAGCTCCCCTACCTCCACGTCAGCCAGATTCTCTGCCAATAACAACAACAACAACGGGAGGAGGGTGAGCAGCAGCGGAACGCCTCAACCCAGACTCTCCCCGCCACTTCACAACCACACCGCCACCCTTAGCGAGCACCCGCACGCCAGACGGGTGCGCAGCGATCCGGGCGGCGGTTCCCTCGGCTTCCCCGCCTCCTTTTCCAGCACCATGGCCTCGCTGCCCGGGCCGCACCTCCCGGGGATCCCCTGCGATTCGTCTGCCTCATCATCAGCCTCCTCAACCTCGTCCACGTCCTCTGGCACGAGCCGAAAGGGCAGCCGCGACTGCTCTGTGTGCTTCGAGAGCGAGGTGATTGCTGCGCTGGTGCCGTGCGGCCACAACCTGTTCTGTATGGAGTGTGCCAACCGCATCTGTGAGAGGAGCGAGCCGCGCTGCCCGGTCTGCCACGCTGCCGTCACTCAGGCCATTCGTATATTTTCATAAGAACGTTTTTATGTGACTGTATCTTCGAGTTAGGGCTGCACGGTTTCGGCAAAAAGCTATTTTTTTGACAGACATTGGCAAAGGCAAGCTTTTGTATAGCACAGTTCATACACAAGGCAACTCAAAGTGCTTCATAAACAATCACACAAGGCATTAGAAAAATTCATAATCACAGTGCATTAAACAGAGTGAATACAAACCTTCAGTTGTTGAAGTGAAACAGAACTGTTTTAAACCTGGCTTTGAACATTGTCAGAGTAGAAGCATGTCTCACATTTTACAGAAGACTGCTCCAGATTTTAGCTGCATTAATCTGGAACGCCGCCTCTCCATGTTTAGTCCTGACTCTGGGCATCAGCAGGATGCCAGACCCTGTGCTCCTCAAAGACAAATGCCATGACTTTCAGAACAAGTTTGAAAAGGGCACAACCACAGCACCACAATATTATTACAACATATTTTTTTATATACAAAGGACTTCAATCACTCTCTTTGCTACAAGCCAGGTTGCATTGGGTCTTGCGCTGAATCTTGCAGCCCTACTACGAATGTGATACCGACAATAGCAACAAGTGACTCTTTGTTCTTTGAACCGGCTTTAACGTGTACATAGATATACATATGTATGTAAGAGGCTGCAGTATCAGGGGAAGGGACAGACCTCGTCTTGGGCTCCGTCGTTTAGTTGTTCATACTATACTGTAGCGTTGGGGAATCTTTTCAACATCTAAGTGCATGTTTTGAATAGTACAGCATAGTACTCTATAGTTCTAGTCAATTGTACTCAATATTTATGAATTGTTAAGGACACATTGGGATGAAGGATCAGACCCAGAGACCGGTGTTTCCACCAGAGGTACAGTGCCGCTTCAGTCCTCCTGACCTAGTTTCTGTTTGTGTGTGTGCGCCATGAAGCTGTGATACGGCTGTTCTGCATGCACAACCACACAGACAGTAGCTGCACATGGCGTTAGCCGCTAACTGAAAGACAATATGACCACTGCAGCTGGCCTGGCCCCACCCTAACATTCAATTTTCATTTATAGGGGAATCCGCTGAGTGCTATACTTATGAACTATTGCTCCAGTTGGTCTTTACTGGCAGGTTTTCTTGCCACAATGAAAATGTGTTAAGGCCATGCGCTAAGGTCAAACCGGTCCTCAAAGGCTTGCGTGGCTGCAGGTTTTCATTCCAACCACGCAGGAGAACACCAGACTCCACCTCTCTCTCTCTGCTGCTCTTTCAGGTCTCTCCCTCTGCTCTCTCTGCTGTCTCTCCCTGTTCTTTGTCAGGTCTCTCTCTCTCTCTGCTACTTCTCTCTCTGGTCTCTCTCTCTCTGGTCTATCTCTTGTGTGCTCCTGGTTGTTTGGAGTGAAACCCTGCTGCTCCCGTTAAAGTGAATGGCGCCGTGTCTCTTGGTGAACCCCGGTTTGTGTCTGAGCCTCCCGCGTGTTGTTCTGAGGGCGTGGGACTCCTACAGGACGCGGCCGGTACTGCAGCTGTAACCACAGGAGCCACAGATCCTACATATATATGTATAGAATCAGCTGAAAGTTTTAATGACCTTCATACAGAAGTATTTTATTCTTTTTTTGACTTGAAAGATTATATTTCTTATTGCAAAGATGTTTACAGATATTTTAATTTAAGTTCAGTGAACTTTTTTTGTAGCTGGGTTGAACTGTTGTTTATTTTGTAGTAAGGCCTTATGGCAGTGATCACTGTATCATTTTGAATATTATCGACTGCGAAGGATCCGGGTCCTCGCTTTGTCTGCGACGCTTTGACAGTATTCTGTTGGGATGGACTTTTTTATAGGTTTAGCAAAAAATGTCTTAGGACTCTGCTTCACCCAGCATATTTTCTATTCAGTAATATAAAGCATATTTTATTCTATATTATTACAAACATTGAAATGTACAAAGCTTAGTAAGTCGAACACAAAGAAACTGTTTATGCTTTCTAAAATTTGTATGACTTAGAATGGAGTGGGTTTACAGGCTTCTGTTGCACCACTATAGTTTTAGTAACTCTATTTTATTACATTTGTTTACCACTTGTTTATGTATATGTAGGTGATGTTACTTGAGCGTAAATGTACTTTATTGAGCAAAGTTTAAGAACAAAGTATATTTTATTTTATGATAAAGGGCCTTTAACCTCATGGTCGAATACTAATATTATATTTGCTGAGACAAGATTTGAAAATGTATCAAGAGTTTTATTTTTCTGACATTTAAAGTTATACATGATAAAAGTAAGACTTAAGTAATGGTGCTAATTCATGTTTTTTTAAGTATTTCTATATAAGTCCAATAAAAATGGTACATTGACAAGGCCTGTGTGTTTTGCTGTTCTTTGTTCTATGCACTGTGTGTCTCACCCTAAATCACAGCAGCAGGATTTACATCAAACCGTTGGAAAAAGGAAATGCAATAATAACAAACACATCCCACATGGAAAAGATGTACAAATATTTTATAAACGTTTTATTGGACTTGAAATGTATAAATTACACATATGACATTCAAACAACATACAAATTCCATAGAAAGATTTTATACTCAAATTATATGGAAACCCATGTTTAAACATTTTTCAAAGAATGTAAGATTGGTTCGTACATCATAGATAATGCTTTGACATCAAATCCAACACAAAGTTCATAGTAAATTTTTTTACGTAAAATTTTATGTGGAAATGTAGAGAAAAACTAGAAGAGTTGTGTACGGTTTATTTGTATTGGATCCGTGAGAGGTTGGTTCTGTGTAAATCAGGTGCAGCTCTGACTCCCACCGCTCGAGCTTGAGGAAAAATAGGAAACGTACTTGTAGTACTGTAAATACTGTGAAAGGTACTCTTGTGTGCCGAGAGTAGTGCGATGACTCATCATTATGAAGATCATACAAGTGAAAGAAGTGCTATTACACACTTACTACTCTATTATGGTATGATAAATAGAAAATATACACATTATTCATTTATGTATGACATACGGATTATATATTGTAAATTGGGGGCGACAGAAGCTCAGTTGGTAGAGCATTGACCTTGCCTGAAGGTCGTGGGTTCGAGCCCACCACAGGACCTACTCCAACTGCTCCAACTGCTGTCATTGTGTCCTTGGGCAAGACATTTAACCCCATGTTGCCTGAAGCCCCCGCTGAAACACCAAGACTGTGGCACCACTGACGTAGCAGCCATCTTCCAGATCGCCTCAGCACCTGCAGAGGATCAGTGAGGGACTGCTGCTATGAGCAAAGGGTGGCAGCTCTGATTGTCACCCACCCCCCGACCTAGAAATGGACCAATAAAGGGGTAGAAAATTAATGAATGAATATATTGTAAAAATGCAAATAATACAAAGACTGTGAAACTTTCTTTTTTGCCATATGAAAGATGTGCAATCAGGATATAATCAACAAACGTCAGGGGATATTCATAAAAAAATCATATGAAAGTGAAATGAAATGGGATTCATAACATTTCCATTTGGGATAGGAACCAGACCAGAGAAAGAGACCAGGGAGAGACCAGAGAGACCTTTGAGCAAACAGGAGCCATTTGCCACTGTAAAGAAATATGAATGTGCAAAAATGTCCATGATCATCGCGTCCTTAAACTGCCATGTCCTCCTGCATCAGAGAAGGAACACTCAGAAACCCAGAGGGGAAAAAAAAAGTTTAGAATATGCACATATCCTGCAGGACACACTTTGCATACATGATGAAACTGAAAATGTGAACCCTTCATTAGTATATTTCCCTCTTATGACAAGTTTATTTGTACAGCACAGTTCATACACAAGACATTAAGATCATAATCATGGAAGTCCCAGAAAGCAAAGGGACAGGTTAAAAAGAAACAAATGTTTAGAAAGAAAAAGTTAGAATAATAATAATAATAATTGTTGAGCAGTGATTGTAAGTTATGAAGCGATCGATATGACTGTCATGAAAATACCACTTACTGTTTGGTGTCTGGCTAAATTGCTCGCATCGCAAACACAAACGCCAACTCACAGTTTCCTCATCTTTTCCACTTTGCTCGAGTCGAACAGACAAAGCCCTCTCCCTTTCTCCACAGTGACAGTGCATGACAATGCACCTGAGTGTAAATGACAGAAGGACTTAAGCCCAAAGAGGCATTCGTGCATCAGAAAAGCACAAAGCCATTGAAACAACAATAAAACAGGCATTATTGCACTGAGATCCATCACAAAGAGCAGGGGGGAGGGCCCAGAGGGGGGGTCCCGACTCCCGCCTCCGAAAACCCCAGAGCCGGGACCACAATCTGCATTATGCATGGACACTGCTGATGTGCTGCCATTTACAGTGGGAGGTTATTTATTAAGCAGCTGGGTTGTATGGTACATGCTTTAGAGAACCTAAGTAAAGGAAATATATGAAAGATCTCAAATGTCTCCCATGTTTTATAATCACTGTATTTTCCTGAAACTCAAAACTTAATTCTGGGCTTTGGACTGACAAAAGAAAGGAAAGAAGCCCAGAATTGATGGATGATTTTATAAATTTTTTGCCATAGAGGATTTTCGATATATTACATGTAAAGACGTAAGCCCCGTTACCACCCGACCTACCCCACTCTCCTCTACTCTACTCTACCTGGTTGTGTTTCCATTACACTTTACCAGTTAGACCACTTTAGTTCCAGCTCAGCCTGGATAGAACCAGAGCCAAGAGGGACTAAAGAAGCAGTGTTGAGGCTTGTATTAAAGTATAGCCTATAGGCAGACAAAACTAATTTATTTTCAAATTTAGCTGGTCTGGTTTATATAGGTGCAACTATTGGTCCAGCATCTACAGCCTCAGTCCTGGATCTAAAACTTCAGTCCTAGATCTACACCCTCAGTCCTGGATCTACACCCTCAGTCCTTGATCTACACCCTCAGTCCTGGATCTACACCCTCAGTCCTTGATCTACACCCTCAGTCCTGGCTCTACACCCTCAGTCCTGGATCTACAGCCTCAGTCCTGGCT